GTCTAGTTTAGATCATTGTTACTTATAAATTATATATTTTTCTTGTATATATGTTGCTGTTTTCCATGGTTGTTGAATAAATGAACATAATTAACAATTATGTTAATTTACTGTGAAAATATGACAGAATATTTGTGATAGATCCAGTTTGCTCCTCCACGTTGTCACAGAAGCTAACAGCGGACGGGGCAGGGCTCAGTCTAGTGTTGTTTAACTCTATGTTTATAACTCTGCTCACTTTTACAGATATTGAGCTAAAATTTGGCGTGGCAGAATCTGAGACTGATCCCCAACAAAGTCTGATTGCACAAGATTTTTGTTAAAACCTTCGTACACAAACAAGACTTCTTCCCGCCAAACGAGAAGCGCTCAGGTGTGTAAATGTGTGTGTCAGGATCTGTGCGAGGACACCCACCTCTCCCCAGTCGTTGAGCTGATTGTAGGACAGGTCCAGYTCCAGGACGTGACCGCAGAAAGCTGCGATGTCGGACCTGTTGCCGGCTTTACGGATCCCACAGTCATTCAGAACCAGAGCGCTGGGCAGGAAGAGGCGGTCTGAGGACGCAGAGACAACTCGCTTCAGACAAACACGTAGCATAGCGGCGCTGCGGCGCAGCGGYGCGGGCTGACATCTCACCTTTAATAGGCGATCCCGTCGGGCTGGCCAGAACCACGACCCCCTGGCCGTACGGGAAGTTYTCCGGGTTGTACTTCTCGCTGACGACTTGGACGAAGGTGCGCACCTCCTCTTCGTCAGAAGAGTCCATGGTTCCACGGCTGAGCAGGGGTCTGACAGGAAGAGACGACAAAAACAACTCAGGCATATTCATTGTTTTTATCCGTCTGTTAGCAAAATATCTCATGAATCRGGCGACAGCTTTTAATGAAATCTGCATCAATCCAATTCAAGATGGCTGCCACAGATAACAGACGTTAGCAAACAGTTATAATCTCATCAGTTTTATAGACATGGAGCTAAAGCTTGGTGTGGTGGTAGCTGAGAGTCACTAACAACATGCACTCTGAGCACAAGTCATTTCCACCTACGATGACTTGTGATTAAAGGTGAAGCATTTGCATTTATTCAAAGATTTCTTGACTGATATTAACAAAAAAACAACTTTTGCTTTTTCTGATTAGAACAAGTTTAACATTTGGAAGAAACTAAAAAACCAAAAACCAAAAAGATATATTTTAATTTTTAATGTTTATCCACTTTCYGAACTTATCACTCAGACCTTAAACTCTAAACGTGGAGGAGTTCATCGTGTTCTGCAGCAGCTCTGGTCCTGATAATGGAGGAAGCTGCAGCTCGCTGATATGAGTTTTTATTTTTAGCTTCTGGACAACATGGAGGAAAATAAACGACGACACAGATAACTCTTTTACCAGCGAAAACATTTAAACTGTTTCTCTGCAWGTTTAACGTCTCCGTCTTTCTGCACAGCAACGGCTTTCCTTTGGACGTTACTATAAACACTAACAAAAGGCTTTATACGCTGCACAATAAAAGGAGAGTGCTTCTTCACGTGGCGGCAGAAAAAAAAGCTGATATCATGTTACATTTCAGCTCTAAAATAAACTATCATGGTTTCTGAGTGGTAGAATACAGCTCAGACAAGCTATTTTTATTGTCTGACGCAAGAAGGCAAAAGCATTTAATAATGTATTTTGCCTGCGTCGGTTCATGTGCACCTCTGTTAGCAAAATATCTCACAAACCACAGYACGGATTTTAATTAACCTTTGCAGGAGGTACTCATTACCTTTTGCGATCATCGTAATTCAAGATGGCTCCCGTAGAAAATTAAACATACTGAACACAGAAGTGGCTGTAGCTCAGTCAATTYAAAAAATACTGAGGTAAAGTTTGGTKTGGTAGTAGCTGYGAGTCATTCCCAACAGATRCATTTGAATCATGTGGCTTTGTTTGTATATTTTACACTTTTGCTACAATCAGTAATTTTATACAATTTAATTTTGATTTTGTCCAAACAAAACCACTTAGATGCCAATTTTTTTTTTTACTCAGATCTCAGTCCATTTGAAGTGGTCTGTTTAGACTCTACCTGACATTTCTGTCACAGATAGTTTCTCGTTACCCGGTTGCCCCGATTCTTACCTCTGATGTCGCAGAGACCACAGAAAGGTCTGTTTCAACAGCGTGCCAGATCACACACCTCCATCCCTGCTGGAAAAAAAAGGAAAACTATAACAAGAGGAACCTTATTTCCAAGCAAGAAAAAATAACTTCATAAAACAACAACAACAAACAAACAAACAAACAAAAAAACAATGAAAAGTAAATCAAAACTTGCTTTATAAGGGTGACAAAAGATGTGACATCTGTGCTCCTGGCATGCCTTTAAAAAGCTGTAATAAACACATGTCAGACAAATTTCACTTAATGATAATTAGAAACAAACTTAATGGAAAATTGAAACAAGTTATCTTTCTCTGTCTAAAAAAACTAACAAAAAAATTGCCCTTTGTACAGTCAATGATAAAAGCAGGAAGTTGTTTTCCATGGTGAAAGMATTACTCGCTGTTGCCCTCTGCTGGGAACTTGTGGAACAACAACAAATTATTTGTTTTTCTTTTTCTTTCTTCAAAAAATAAAAGCACCCTCTGATAATTGTAGCCGAAAAAAACAACAATGTACATCAAAGCACAAAAGATGACMATTTTTGCTGCAACCTCTACAAATAATAATTGCATCTTAAAGTACAAATGTTTTAAACGGAGTTCGGCGAAAACCCCTCGACAACACGGGGGCTGCTTACGGCCGAAGCCTGTTTACGAAATGTAGCTCATAATACAAAAACTAAACAGTATAATCCAATTCTATGTTCTGAGATCTCTATAAGGTTTATTTTTTAGAGAAAATGCTTCGATACGTGCCAGAAAACGAAGCATTGTTTTTTTCTTTTACATCCAATTTCGAGAAGATGAAACACTTCCCTGGAGGCTGCACGAGCGGGGTGATTTTTTTAAATAAAATATTAACACTTAAAATGTTTTGTTTCTATCGTGAATCGGTCACGTTTGTTTGTTTAGATCTTCAGTACTCACCGTCCCTGAAACCCCTCGGTGTTGTGTTTGTTTTTGTTTTCTTCGGTCAATTTGACAGCTTAAGACACGCCTACTTTACAGGAAGTGACGTAATTTAAAAAGTAGGATTACCTGTACATCAAAAAATGATAAAATCTTTATTAAAAGCCACAGTTAAAAAATACTAAAATATTACTTTATATCAAACATTAACAAATGACTAAAAATGAAGAAAACCAATTCAGCAGAAAAAACTAGTTTTTTACATTTTAAATAATTTGTTTTACGAGTTAAAACTTCAACTAGATGATGTGCTATTAAAGAAAAATATTGTTATAAAGTGTATCAAATAGTTTATTTAATGTATTTTTTGAATGTAAAGTGAATAAATACAACAGTAGTTTTTTTATGGAATGCAGACCGAATTTACAATTTAAAACCACCAGAGGGTAGTGTTTACCTGTTTTCTGCTCAATTATTTTGTTACAGACATGTCCCCCCCATGTAGTCCAGTGGTTCCCAAACTTTTTGTCTTCTGACCCACAAAATATCCATGGCAAAAACTTGTGACCCCAAATATTACAGGTCTGAGTAAACTTTGTTAAAAAAACCCTAAAAACACAGGCTTTTTGACAATCTAAACAGCTTGTACACAAATATAAATACTTATTTATGCTTATTTTGCGTTTTTGTAATAGTTATAGGGAAAATATTACACCAGCAATCATTTTATTACCCTTTAAATTGATTTCTGGAGATCATCCAAAGTGCTTTATGACCCATAATTGGGTCCCAATCAAAACTTTGGCAACCAAAGTGCAGTGGTTCCCAAAGTTTTCAGCTTTTGATCCACAAAAATAACAGTAGCAGAGGCCTGTGCCCCCAGCAATTTTTGGATGATAAACATTTGTATCAGGCCAACAAAACATGGGCACAGTAACAATTTTTATACTACATTTATCCATTTTAAATATATTAACCTCACTCATTTGTAACAACTAAGGCAAAAATGTAATTAATTCCAAAAATCATTTCAGGACCCCACTTTGATGTTTCAGGACCCCACTTTGGGTCCCGACCCCAACTTTGGGAAACACTGATGCAGTCCACACATGAAAGGTGGTGTTCTTTAAAGAACGTTGTCAAGTTCTCTTCTTTTAACCTGGACTTATTTTCATTTAAATATTTATAAATTAAAACACATGACTCTCTATTCTAACTACACAACAACCTGGACTGTAAATTGTTTGTTGCGGTTTAAAGGATTTTATCTGCAGATGGTTAATAATAAACAATCAGTTTGAGGCATGGGTGTCCAATTTTGTACTGTTCTGCATGTTTTCCTGATTTGCAAGCTCCAATACACCAGATTCAGTGAATATATTACCTCTTCATGTTCTGCAGAAGTCTGTTAATCACATCCAAACCAGGTGTGTTGGAGCTGAGAAACTTCTAAAACATGCCCCCAGATGTCTCATAAACAGATTCAGGTGACTCAGCAGCTGAGCTATAAAAAGCAAGTGATGTCACCAGCATCCTCTCTTATACCTGACCCGTAGTCTGTGAGCTTAATCCTCATGTTGTTTTTTTTCAAGGCAGGAATTATTTTGTAAAACATACTGTGACATTCTTCTAATCAGAACCAGGATTGAGTCATGGTGGCATGTTGGAGGTCTGGTGCACGGTGAAGGGGTGKGGGGTGGGTCAATGCCAGTCCAGAACAAGTGAGGAGAGTCTAGACCTGCAGAGAGGGCGTGGTCTACCTAATCCAGAAGAATCCTGTCAGCCTCAGAACCAGATTTAAGAACCTCACAGACTGAGGGGAACGTAAACAGACACAAAGCAGACACTCAAAATCAAATTCTGTTTTAAATCGTGCATTTCTATTTTTTCCTGTTGCTTTTGCTGGATTATTTTTAATCTGAGGGGAGAAACCAGGCTGCAGATTAGAAACATGGCGCTCCTGAAGTCAGGCTGGTTGTGGAGACAAAGTAAGTCAACATTTCATGTTTGAACTGATTTTTTTTTATTTTGTTGCATAAATCAGTTTTTGTTATGAGGAATAAAAAAAACTAACCAATAAAATTTTAGCATTTTAGTTTTTATTATTTTTAAGCAGGAGTGTTTACAGAATGGTAAATGTAAGGTGTGACCATTTCACAAAAGATTTTTGTTTATATTTTCTAAATTTCTGGACGTATGTTTGTGCTTTTATTGTGTTGTTTCAATGCTGACCTCTGGGGTTGCGTTCTCACCAAGTGCAGGAACAAAACATTGAATTAAAATAAATAAAAAAAAGTCAACAATCAAAATGTTAAAGCAAGAACCTTTTACAAAAAAATCAGGAGCTTCATTTTGGATTTCTCAGCAATAAACATTTAAAATATATATTTTTAATAATAAATAAAACAGACTATCTTATCATAATTCATCACATCGGCTCTTATAACCCTGATGTATTTTTCATTCTCATTTCTGCTTTTCAAAACTTATTTACAATTCGAACCTTTCTTCATGTCGGAGTTTGAAAAAATTTTCTAGAAACTTCACCCTCTGTAGATTATAATCCAATTAATGGTCCTCAGCTGTGAGTTTAAGTGGCTTAAAGGTCATCAGAACCTGCTGGTAAAAAACATTACACTTGAAAACACAACAACAAAAACATCATTTGACTCTTGGAAGAAGGTAACTGAATACTGAGAAGGCAAATTTAGTTCTTTTTCACTCATTTCTCTGTCCAGCATTTGTTTGTTTTCAGGGGAATCTTAGTTTTTTCAGGCCTTTGGTGCAGCGTTCTGAAAAGCTGGCACTTTCCCGCACATCCCTCTGTTCTGCAGCTGCCGTCCTGAAACGCTGGAAGTTAAACTGGTGCGACCTCTGGATCGACGGCAGCCTCTGCTTCTACAAGAACGACACAAGGAGAGAGCTGGAGCAAAGGATCGGCCTGAAGACGGCGAGCATCGACGTTCGGTCCGGCCTGGAATGTGGAGGTACATCGCAGAAGATTGGTTTGTTGGCCAATACTATGCTAATTCTCAGCTGTGTGGCTAAAATATAGCCTTGTGAAATTGGAGTTAGCATTAGCAGTTATCTTTGGGACAATCAATGTTTTTGTGGATCGCTCTTGGCTACAATCACAAAATTTCAGCTCAATATTTCTTAAGACATTTAAATTAAAGCCGTTTGAAATCCAGTTGTTTTATTTATACGTGCCCCCCTAAAACCACCTTGGCCACCCCTGCGCCAACATGTCTAGCTCCGCCCCTGCTAGCAGGAAGGTTTGCTTTCTGTTCGCAGGTGTGACTCCACCTGAGAGCAACCCCAGGGAGAACCTGATCGTGGTCCATCTCAGAGACGGCTCAACACTCAACCTGTGTGCCAACAGTGAAGACGAGGCTCTGTAGGTGTCAGAACCACCTGGTTTCCCTTCAAGGCTTTAGCAGAACTTCATGTGTGATTCTTTTTTCAGGGCCTGGAAGCTGACCCTGCTGGAGACCAGGAGGAACCCGGTGAGTTCTCGGTGAACCTCCTCACCTCCGTCCACCTCTGTGATTAAACAGTCTTCCTCTCGTCCAGGTGTTTGTGTACGACCCGTATGATGACTCGTACCAGGCCGTCCCCCTGAACTCCTACCACACGGTCTACATCACACCTGGAGCAGGACCAGGTGAGTCAAAGACTTCACACATGAATATTTATGTGCTGTTTACCTCCAGCTCGCTGACAGATCAAACTCTAAAATAAAACAGGAGATTTGGCAGAAATTACTCTCAAATCAGAGATATTATCACTAATAACTGTTAGGATTATAATTTTAGGAATTTGTCTTGTTGTCACAGTTTGACTTTAGAGCAGAAACACCTGTCCTGAAAATAAGCTTGACAGCAGGTGAATTTGATGAAAAAAGAAAAAAGTGCAGCTGATTTGGTGCTGTCCTACAGATGAGGATTAAGGCCACAGAGAAAAAAAAACTCAGAATTCTGAGATCAAAATCAAAATTCTGAGTATAAAATCAGAATTCTTGTTTTTTTCCTTATCCTATTCCAGACTTTCCTCATCACTGCCTTAGAAAAATACAAGTTTAATACGTAAATTTGTTATGTTTGTTAAACCACACGATACACCTAAATTATCTAAGTGTATCTAAATATTTAATGTATTTTCACCTCTTATTTGATATAAGTTGTCCTTTTCTTCTCAAATGTTTATATTATGATTTTTTCTTCTTTCTGCCTCCTTTCATTAAGTGTGATTTTTACCCTCTTTGTTGTGAATAATTTTTTTTAAAAATTTAAATTAAATGAATGAATTGAAAGTGAATCTGATGAACTTTCTATTTGAAATTATGACTTTTTTCTCTCAGATGTCTTTTTTTGACTGAGTCCTCAAATCTCCTGAAAGGCACTTTTGAAATAATGTAATATAAAGTGGTTATTTTGATCAAACAACACTTCATTGTTTTTACTTTCACTACTTTTCCTTTAAACATAAAACTAAGCCTTGTCTAAATGTATGCAACCTGTTTTTAAGCAACATCTGGGTGAGAAAATGTGGAAAGCGAAGGGTTAACCCTCATCAAAGAACAATCCACCTCCTGCAGAATAATGTGGCGGACCCGACAGCCGAGGCATTAAATATAAATGTGGCCCCTCTGTTGTTTGGTTCCAGGAACCCAGCAGGTGGTCGTTCACAGGGATCCCTTTGATGGCATTGCAGAAAGCGTGGCACTGGGATTACTGGCGGGTGTGGCGGCGGGAGCGGCCATGAGGTCCTTCCTCTGGATGCCCTTCTTCTTCTGCTGACGACACCGAGACCAGAACCTCTGAGAGCTGGACCCTCAGCGTAGAGAAGCTTCTTTTTTTTTTTAAACATTTTGCTTTGGTTCGTCTTTTTGCCTGTTGTGCGCTCAGGTTTTTGCATTTTGCTGCACATCAATGAACTTTTCTAAAGAAAAATTGTGAATTAATAGAAATAAAGTTTCAATTTGCTCCTGATTGACTTGTTTTATGTAACGCAGCAGAAAACGGCACCGCGTTGTAGCTGCATAGAACAAAGTGAAAGCCACAGACGTGTAGCATAGTCTTCATCAGCAGGCGGGGGTCCTCCTGCTGTGGGGACGTATACAGGCTCAGTGGGTGGGTTTCAGCTCGCTTCAGGCTTTAAGATGAAAAGAAGTTCCTCCTGTGGATGAAAAGTGTGTAATGTGGTCGACAGGTTGAAGAGAAACAACAGAAATGACTCATGAGTTTTCCACGATGTAACRGAGGTGAATTCTATATGTTGAGATGAAGCATAAGTAGAGTTAGCACAGCTTAGACCYAAAGAACACGAGGTGGTCTCAGTAAGTTCATTATCTGAACTGTTTTTTTAAATCAAATCAACCGTTTTATTCCCATGCGAGGTCAGAAATAAACCAGTGATTTTTTTTAACATTATTTTAATTTTTTCCATATCGACTAACAGACATGATTTAATTTATTTACAATCTTTGTATGAATTATTATAWATCAAAATAAGCACATATCCAGATCAATAGAACCAGAAAAGCAGGTTTGATAAGGATTTTCATCACAAAGAAAAAAAAAACATCTTTAAAAATGGCTGAAAGAGATTTAGTTTAGCTACTTCTTTTAACTTAACAAAAACAACTACATTGTGCAATTTTAAAGCTACTTTTTTGTAAAATTTAAGTAAAAAAATAATTGGATTTAAAGCTTTGAACTCAGTTTACCCGAAGATCTTTCTGTTGAACAGATGTTTATTTTAATGTCTACAATGTTTCTAATGTTTGACCACATCTCTGTTTTTTGTTCAAACTTTGCCTTGCTGCAGCTTCCTGCAGCTCCTCGAGTCTCTCAGCTGAATCCACAGCCCAAAACCTTTATTTGCCACCTCCCAGTTTGCACTGCGTTCTGAATTTAAAATCTTATTTGGCAAATATGAACTCAGATCATTGTGGGACAGTTTTTTTAGTCACTTCCTTTAACTCAACTCTACTCCTGCTTGCACGAGGCTCCTCTCTGAGCGAGTCCGTTCACCTTTGCCGTATCGTTACCGAGCTTTCCTTCTGCCTGAAGTTTCCGGATCAGGTCGAGGGGGCCTTTCCCCATCAGAGCCGACGGCTGCCTGTAGGAGCCGCCCAGCCGGTCCCACAGAGTGAAGTACTGGCCGTAGTTGAAGTCAAAGAAGAGGTGGTGGTCGGTGTGGTGGGCCGCRCCGTTGATGACGCTCGACAGGGCGCTGGGAACGCGGTAGTCGCCGTCGTGGATGGAGATGGTCCAGATGTTGACGAACACGTACAGAGCCAGGTAGAGCACCTTGTGGAGGGGGAAGAGGAAGGGGTAGATGTGGTACGGGAGGCCCTGCAGGAAGCCGTCCACCGGGTGGAAGGCGTGGCTGGCGAAGGGAGTGGCGATCTTCCAGACGTGGTGCGGTTTGTGAAACGACTGTCGGGGACGAGAACATGATTTTATCTTGTATTTAGTGATGTATATTTGATGAGAAGTACCCAAACGTTTGAAAACTGCTGCCTAAACGCAACAATCAGGAGTAAACACACCTTGTAAATAAGCTTATGGTGCAGGAAGCGGTGAACCCAGTAGATGCACATGTCGGTGAAAAACAGGAAGGAGATCATACTCAGGAAAAGCCCTGACCAACCTGGAAGAAAGGAGGTCAGTTCACCATCAGAGATGAAAAAAAAAAATTAAAATTAAGAAAACAGAAAATCAGACTGTAGGATTTACCCAACGGGGAGTCATCGACGCTGTCGTACAGTTTGCTGTATCCTCGAACTTCAGCGAAAAACAAGGCCACAGTGGGAACGCTGATGCAGGGCAGAGAGGTCATCGCATATTTGATTTCTCTKCGTACTTGATTCTGTGGAGCACAAGACTTTAAATCCCTGACCCCGACAATGTAGTTAAAATATCCTGTATACAACATGAGTATTACATATAATCACAGCTAGAAACACAAAAATATATGTGATCAGAAAAGCCTTGAAGTCCGGTGTGATTGAATAAAACACAAATGAATGTGTAGTCAATATGCTGTTTGTGTTTAACTGTTCTAAAAAGGTATGCTGTTGTGTCAGGAAACAGATTTTTTCTTTACTGTGTTCTTGAACGTGACTATGGTGGAACTAATACTTTTAGGCTTAGGCCAGTAATTTATGACTTACTTTAATGACCTAGGTTTTCATGACATGCTGTTTATCAGCAGAGAGAATGTGTAGGGGTTCTCCAAAGAGAAAATAAACATTTCCACTTGTCTTTGACTCTGGTTTTTAAAAGAAAAAAAAATCCTTTCTTAATAGACTTATTTTCTTTTCTTTAATAAACAGAATAATAATGTTCTTCATGTTTTGATTTATATTCTCTTTTTTAACTACAAGTTATCATTTTATAAATTAAAGTTGTCTAATGAGTTAATCTTTTGCATTGTTTTCAGGAAAACACACCATGAAAAATGGTTGAACTACCCCTTTAACTGTTTTACACAAAATGCTTGTTTAATCAACTATTATCTTACAGTAAAGCGATTGTTTTTCTTTTCACTATTCCATTTAATCAAAGTTGATTATGTTTTTATAACATCACTGAGTTATATTTTGAGATATGTTTACAGAAATAGTTGTGTTTAATCATAGAAAAAATATTTCTTAGATGTATTCCAGTTAAAATGATTCTTGAGCATTTATTGAATGACCTTTAGTCCATTTAACCTGTGTCAAAGTTACAATTTGTGGTCTCTAAATGCATGTGAACAAGTGTTTATATGGAAACCAAGTCTTCAGACTCAACATTCCTGTTTCTGCCTTTTCTAACTAACCTACAAATGATTAAAGTCAGAACAAGATTTGCTAACAACAATAATCATTCTCAGATAACACTTGTGTTTATCTTTGTGTTTTCCCTTGACCTACGATGAAATCTTGCTAAGATAACATATATATAT